ATAAAAAATGATTACTTCGGTTAAAATGGATGAAGGAAATCACTAGGACAAAACATAAATTATGCAGTTTAAAAAGATTATAGTATATAAAAAAAAAGAACGGAACCAGTAGGACAGAGGTCAACAAGATCAAGTACATGTAACTATGATAAACTCACAGGGGTAGATTGGACTAATGAAATATTTGAACTACTATTTGGTGAAGTATTTGAACGTAAGTCTGCAGCTGGAAGATATCCAGAAGTGGATGGAAGAACAAGAGAAGCAACGGATGTCGTGATACATACATTAGTTTCCGCAGACCGTGGTATTGTCTGAAGTGTGGAGGACGCAGAGTATCCATGGGACGTGGGGCCGGTCACCGGGTACCGTTGGGAATGAACATTTGTTTGGGCAGGTGGAGTATAAGTTCCAGATTGTCGAGAAATAGTGGGAGCTGGACAAGATGCGATTGGTGTGCTGATAGGCTTGGTGGGAGGAGAGCATGGATCAGCATTCTGAGGAAATGGAGAAAATGGAGGTATATTGGAGGGAACTGATTGTTGAAGTGGAGCAGTGCTAGTTTCGTATAATGCATGCGAGTAGGGTCCAGATTGAGTTAGAGCAATTTGCTTGTTAGTCACCACTGTTGAATTTATTGATGAATTGGGATCTGGATAGGGTTGTTGGTTAGGCAGAGAAGACTGGGTTATTTGACCCTGTACTGAACCAGTAACATCTTGATAAGGACGATATGGAGAGTCACTGGATGAAGCACTACTGGGCTGGGCCTGAGAAATATGTTGGCTATATCCTAATTTATGATGACTGACAGCAGGAGATTGGGATCGCGAAGAATGGGAAAAGTTCGCCTGCCTTGGATCGGCATGAGAAAGTAAAGTTGGAGGAAGACTGGTGAGGGACTGAGGAACGCGACCTACAAGATAATTAGCACTTTCAGATATGTTGCCACTAGTAGTGTTTGAATATGTGCCAGGAGCTTGAGAAGCAGGAATAGGAGAAACCACAGTTCTAGAGGACTCGTTAGCCATCTGAATAGGGTAAGAAACGGGCCTGACGGTCACCTGCCCACTATGGTGGCCAGTTGACTGCACATGAGCATAATGAGCAGGATGTGGAGACGTTGGGGGATACGGAGCAACGGAGATAGGTTGTGATTGAGCCGTTGAAATAGAATTAACGTGATGAGGCATTTGTGAATTACCACCATAAGGATTAGGAGAACTAACTTGAGGACGACAAAGTGTAGCAGGATGATTTGAGGGAGTGGCATGAGATGTTGAAGGTAATGGCTTGTGGAGGGAAGTATTGAGATTGTGCGAAGTATGAGGTCTACTAGAAGACATAGTCGTTCCAGCGGGATGCATCATAGACCCCTTCCCATGAACAGATATGGAAGTATCGGGCAAAACAATGTCTGCAGAGTTGACGCCGGGGGCTGAGTAGACTTCTTGGGACGAAATATGAGATTCATGCGGCCTGGAGGACTGTTGCACATAATAATGAGATGTTTTTTCCGGAAGAGAATTGCCTCCATAACTGTGAGTTGAAGGTTGGTTCGAGTAAATAGTGTGATCTGCCTGCTGATGATAAAAAGAAGCCTGCTGATTGTTCCATACTGGCCCGCTTTGACCATGGACGGATTGTTGTATGTCATACTGTTGAGAAACATTATTATCCTGGCGCCAAGGCCTGTTCGTAACATTGTATGACAAGCTCTGACCAGGTTTTGGTGAAGAATAGTCAGGGTAATCCATATATTGGTAATGATTTCCTTCAGAACCATAATGAACAACAGCGCCTGGTACGGGGTAGTGGGAGCCAGAGTGAAGAGGTTGTCTTGAACAATCGGGTGTGGCGTAGTCCGAGTAAATAGCTACATGACCTTGGGTAGAATGATAGTCAGGATAATTATCAGAACTATCTCCGTTTGTAAGTTCGTGGAGAAAACTTGTAGATTGACTTCGGTGAGACGAGCAATTTTGATTATCCATTGTTAGCTAGGTTAGAACTAAAATCTTTGAGGAATAAAAAACTAAATTAAGATCGCATTTTTCACAAAGTAAGCAAGGATATCTTCGAGATCTATAGAAGATTATAGACAGAAAATGAATGCATGTTCGTAAAAGTATAAATCGAGTCCTAGCAAAAAGAAAAGCTCAAACCAAAGAAGCGCCGCAATAAGTTATTAAGAGGAGTGTTAAATAACTCAATGCTAATTTATAACATAGACATTATAATTGAAAACATATATTTGCACATTTAAATTATTAAAATTTGCATTGTTTGTACATTAAAACAAACACTTCAAATTAGACTTATGAAGGCTCTCAAAATTACACGTATATGTATATGTTTAACCATTTCGAAGTGAC